AAGCAAAACCTTGCCGAAATCTTCCGGTCTGTCGAGCTTTTAACGTCACAAATGTCAGATGACCATAAAGAATTTCAAAAAACGATATCAAGATACGAAAAAGTAATAGACAAGAAATGGAAACAGGATATTACAATCGCCAGCAATCCTGACGCATTTGTTGATAAGGAACAAGTTCTTCAAAGAACCATAGCATTACATTTTATACGCCAAGGCAAATTTAAATTAGTGAATACTTTCATGCAAGATACGCAATTAATGGACATCACTATCGATTTACAAGAACAATTTGATAATATGTACAAAATTTTGGATGCTATTGATAATTTCAATTTACGTCCAGCTCTAGAGTGGGCAAAATCAAAACGCAAAGAATTAGAACAGAGGGGTAGCTCGTTGGAGTTTGATCTTCATCGCCTTCACTACATTAAATATCTTGTTAAACAGAAAAACAAAGACGAAGCTTTAAAATATGCCAGACTAAATTTCAATTATTTTCAAACGAGACACATGCACGAAATTAGACGGCTTATGACTGCTATATTGTACATTCACCGCTTAGAATCATCTCCTTATGCGGATTTAACGTCAAATGATGCATGGACTGATATTAAAATAACATTCACGCGTGATTTTTGCAATCTGTTGAAAATGTCGTGTGATAGTCCTTTATATACAAGTTTAACAGTTGGTTCGACTGCATTACCTACGATCATCAAAATGGCGACCATTATGAAGGAAAAGAAGAATGAATGGAGTCAACAGGATGAACTACCGGTATATATCTATTTATATTAATATATATTTTGTTTGCTTTTTTCTATTGTTAAGGTGAGGCTACGCCTCTATCTTTATTAGCAATTTTATGCGATGTAGTTCTCAGAATCTTTATTCAAAATTTATAAATTACATGGCAAGAATTAAGACTCAAACTAATTTATCTGCGACTTAAAGCTACTTGAGTGGTCTGAACTCGCCTAGATTTATTTATACTTAATTATTAAACTCTTGATAATTTCTTTAATTTGGTGTGAAGGTTGAAGTTCCTCTCACAGATGATATGAGATTCCATTCTATTTTTGCTTGTCCTGTATCGAAAGAGCAATCGTCAGAAGACAATCCTCCTATGATGATGCCATGCGGACATGTGATATGTAAAGAGAGTTTGAATAAGTTGAGTAAGGGAAACGGTCGGTTTAAATGTCCATATTGTCCAAGTGAGTCTACATCAAATCAGGCTGTGAAGGTGCATTTCTAAGGTAAATAGTTAAAATATACATTTTAAATTGCGATATTTCATTTAGAAATTTACAGCGTTCTAATTAGAGATTGTTAATGTAAATGTTCACAGAAGAAAATTTCTTGAGATCACGAGTCAGGCTATTGTCAGGTTATTGTATGTAATTGTATCAAAGAAAGATATGCTAGTACTGCAGTGTAAAGAAACAAGTGTGGATTGTTAATAGGTGAAACAACTTATAGTCTCAAACAAAGCCTTTCTAAATTGTAAAAACATTAAAATGACAAATCTTTGTTGTTATGTATATTACAATTATTAACAGCTATCCAGAAATTAGTTTAAATGGAAGTTTTGTACAGAGAATAAAATCGTACGTAATTCAGCACAATCAATTTAATCATCTTTGCCTTTTCGTCGTCAGGAAAATTTTTAGACCTATATATATGTATATACCGCAGTTTCAGAAATACTTATTCGTACAAATGATGCAAACTCAAAAAGGAAACTTGATGTATAAAAACTAAGTTGTTTAGATAGGGCTATAGAATAATAGTCATGTAATATGTCACGGAATAAAACGTCATACAAAAAATCTTGCTACAAAAATGTTATTATTAATGGTGTCACCTATAATGCAAAGGATCCGTTACCAGAAGTAAAAGTGTTAACATATTTGAAATAACGAAACTCATGAAATTAGTGTTAAAAGTCATCTTTTCATTATTAGAAATTTGCTAATGTGAAATACTACAGTATCAGACAGCAAAAAATATCCACTTTTTATATATAAAATATAAAAATGTTAATAACTCAAAAACTAATAACTTTAAAAAAATTCGTGTTACAGATTATGTTCGTTAATTCATTACGTAGGCAATTGCCAATTAATAAGATCATTGCAGATCTTTATGGCCTTTTCTTAAGGGTAGACGGTATGTAGATCATTTTTCATATGATCAACACGTGATTTTAAAAATTTACTATAAAATTGAAAGTTGTTACTAATAA